GACGGATTGACACCCTCGACTTCGTCTCGGGTGTCAAACGCCGTCGTCGTTCGAAAAACGACATTTTTCGCCCTTGTATCGAAAACTACTATTTTATATCAAAGAATTGGGAATATTTTTTATTCCAAATCAAATTCATTCCTGGGTTTCAGTCATTTATTGTCTCTAATTATCAATCAAAATACGTTTCGATGTCTTTTATTGCATTTTGATTGATAAATAGAGACAGTAAATGACTGAAACCCAGGAATGAATTTGATTTGGAATTGAAACACAGTCAGCAAAGTATATACAATATTTTTATTCTTTTTCTTGATGTAGATGGTTTCCGAAAATGCCAAGTTACCAGTGAAAATTAGTTTTTACATATTTTCGGATGTTTGAAACAGACATAGTTGCCTTTGAGTAATGTTTTCTAGGAGGCAGTATTAATCAATTGAAGATTTTTCCTTGGACATGCGCACGCAACATTTCTAATTCATCTAATTCCCCTATTCTTGTTAGGTGTCTCGCAGTTCTCAGCAGCGCTGCAGAGTGGCCGTTGTGAAGCGGCTCTTAGACGCTGCGTCTAACCTTGAGAATGGAGCAGGTTCCATCCTCGACAGCTGTCGTTCGCAGACGCTAGTAGCGGCTACAAAAAGTCGCTCGTGTGGGGGTGCCCTTATTTTCTTGCAAAATATGTACCGCATTGTTGGCCAAAGCTATACAATGGTTACCGTCTACCAAAACTAAAAGGTTTGCGGCTATTCCTTTTATCCGTGTCTTCGGTCTGGGCCTTCATCTTTTCTACCAAAGAGGGCTGCTGTTTACATAAGCAGCGCAGTCTAAAGGCAGGAACCATAAAAATCCGATCCAATATAACATAAGTAGGCAAACATTTGTATTTGAAACTGTAGTAGCGGAAAACTTGAGCCAATATTTGTTTGGAGTTGATTTATTTCGTAAAGTGGCCTCGTTTTTGAATATTCGATAAATGTTGAGCAGAACGCACGCACGTTTAGGCGAATTGAATTCGATACGATGAACAAACAAAATGGATTTTCATACATTTACGGTAAACGGGATTTGGATTTCTCGGTGGGTGGCAAAACGCACTCAATAGGACTTAGGTTTCTTTTTCCAGTTTTACCAACAGGGAATTTACCTACTATTTTTAATACCACAAGAAAAGTAAATATGTAGTTCTGTGAAGAACTTAAGACAGAAATGGGTGTGCAGGAAAACATGCAAAGGAATTAGTAATTGGAATAATTTATAACAGCAAACTATAGCTGGGTGTTATTGAGATTAATTATACATGGAATAATATTATTATTTACTCAAACGCCGAGATCGGGATAATTCTTTTGCTACAACAAATTCCAACCAGTGTATTTATTAAGTAAATATATGTGCACTTGCAATATGTTTTGGAAGCACCCACTTAAATCAACAAAGTTAACTTTTAAAAATATTTCGTTGATAGAAGGACCGTTCAATGCTCGCCCAACCCCAATATTATTAAATGTCGAATTTGACTACATTTTATTGTTATTTATAATATTGTCCAATATTATTAAATGTTGGCCAATATTATTGGACTCGCACCATTTAAGAGCGACAAATTGGAATTAATTAAGATTAAACGTTATCAATTCAAACACAGAAAATTCAACATTTTTAAGAATTCAGTGCATCAAGCGTTGTTACTGGTGTTCTTTGTCTAGACGGGACTGGGATCATTACATGTAATCGATGATTGGGCAATCTTCACGTAAAGCTGCAATTAGTGAAAACCTTGAAGAATTGGTTGCAGAGAAGGAAATCTTTATTGCAATGTGCAGATCTGGAAAACATGCATTTTCATCATCAGGAATAAATTTTCAATACTAAATTGTAGGTCAAAATATATACAATTAAGTCTAGGACTTGCAAAATCCCACTGTATTCTTGACCCCAATGTTGGGAAACTTTGGAAAATTGCTTTCGGACCTTTCGCAAACATGAGTGACTCGCATCTTCAGAGGTGGCATAATGGTGGAATAAAGAGTAATCACCTATACAGACTTAACCTTCTTTGGGATTTTCCGCAAGAAACACGAATTAAATTGAGTAACTTCTGCTTGTGTCTTATAACTTGAAGACGTTTTTCCACTCTGCGTTTCAGTATCTGTATAATCACTGGGTAATTTGCAATCGCAAAGAAATATAAAAGTTGTTGCAATTTTCAATAAGAAACCCGGATTTGAGCTTCAAATAAAAGAGCATTTTGTGGCATTGTTGGCTTTAGGGATTTGTCAGCATTATTTAACTATAAAAGAAGCCACAGCCGAAACGAGCATTTAGTCATTAGATGTTTAATCATAAGTCATAAGAATTCAGTCTCAGATAGTCTTAGTCAGTCTAAAGACAGTCTTAAAATATGCGAGTCACAATTCATAGTTAAGGTTCGGTTACAACTAAAATCTATTTTTTTGTAATAATTAATAATTATAAAAATAAATTGTTTTTAAAAAGCAAACTTTCAAATTAATCAATAAAATTCCAAGACGAACACATGTTTTCGCATTATTCACAGACCCAGTTTGATCAACTTTTTTCCATAAATCTTCTAACAGTGGCTTTATTTGGAGCATTCACACTTCGACAATAATTTTTCCCAATAAAAATAAACATTATCTATGTAGGTACGTATTGTAACACTCAATTTTACTTTAGAACGGCTAATTTTTTAAACTAAGATTATGACACTTTTTTAGAAAGTTTCGGTACTTAAGTAAGTACTGGACAACAGAAAATATAAGCGTTAAAACGCGAATTTGAAACACCAAGCTTTAACACTTCGTTTCATTGGAACAAAACTCTTAAAGTAATTATCAAAATTAGTCACTCACAACATGCGAGCAATTTATTATTAAGGCAATTTTTTGTCATTTGAATACTTGTATTATGTTGACAAAATGCTCATTCATTATGTGGTAGTCATTGTTGAGAAAAATAATTTTTAGTAAGTATTTTTAGTAGTAAAGTAAAATAATTAGGGATCAAACAGTGCCTTAAATATTACGGAAATTGTGCAACGTGCAACAGCAACTTAACAGACAGAGGCGACTAAAAAGAAAACAACTACAGTACTAAATCTTATTCGTTGATTTCGTAAATTGAAATAACCCGATAAATCAAAACTAATTGATAAACGAACCTCTTCTAAAGGTCATAATGAATATCTACTACGAAAACACTAATCTGAAGTAAAATTTAAATTTAATTAATGTAAACAAGCGCAATAGGCATATTCACCTTGGCATCTTCAGTCAACTAAAGTATCATATTAATTGTAAAAACTTGTAAGTTGTGCTATTTAATCACTTTCCACTTCTTTACGACAACAACCACTAATCTGCTTTTGCATGTTATTTAAGTGCTTCTTTACTGTGTATAATTATGTTTCAGCATTCTGATAAAATTAGCCTGTGAAAGAAAACCATTAAATTCAATCACACTGGAAAACGTAAACAAGAATTAAATTTACTTCTATATTTGTAGCAGTACCACAAGATCCCGACTTAGTTCAGTTCCAGCTGGTAAAACGATAGCAAGCCGCTCTTTGAAATTACATCAGTTTGTGCATTTCACAATATATGTTGTCGACCTATCGGAAAATTGTTTGCTAAGGTTGCTAAAATGCATTTAATTAGCGTTGTTTTGTTCACATTTTACGCGGTACCGTTTGTTTTAAGTGCCGGTTTAAATGAGGAATTCACCTGGAGTAGCATCAGTTTTCAATGGCCTGAAGACAGTCAGCTAAGTTCCAGATTCAAACAGTAAGTTTGAAGTTTTATTTCCACTGCTCTTTAGTGTTCTTTACGAAGTCATTTTTCTTGCTGCTATTTGCTGCTGCTTATTGTTTGGGTGTCCAAGATTTTTATTTTCAGCTTTGACTTCAAAAATAAAAATCAATTTTTAACATTTCTATTCACGTTTAAAAATGGGGGTCTCTTGTGACATGAGTGGCCAGATCACTAAATAATATTTCATAAAAATATTGTTTAAGGCCAAGACATAAAAAGACGAATGAGAATGCTCCAATATTTTTCGATGGAGAAACAAATGCAGCAAATGTTGCCCGAAGAAATTCATCAAACATGCCAAGCCAGCTTTCTGAATCGATGCAAGTACCGGCTTCGATCGATTACCAATACGGTAAGACGAGCAATCAAACCAAGAAGTTTTGAGCAAAAAAGTGAAAGAACTATGCAAAGTGAAAAAAGTGAGCTTTAATGGATGACGAGAAAATAAATGCCTAAAAGAGCAACAAACTATTCTCAGTCTTCTTTTCTTAGAAATGTGCATTCACTTATACCATCATATTAGTTATATTAATATTATTTTACTAACTCGTAAAATACTTTAATTGATCAATTTCACAGATGAATTTCTATGAAGTTGTTTTACACTTCGAATAAATTACTTCGTTGGCAAAAATTGCAAAACCTGTTTATACCAAGTTCCTTCTTGTCAATTACCATTATCAGAAAAATTCCAAATATATTCCATTTCATATAAAATATTCCTAGAAATTCTCATAAATCACAAAAAAAAACATTAAACTGTGTGTTAGACAATTTATTGTTAAAAGACAGACGTCGGAACTTGTTCGGTTGATTACCGCCATCAATTTCACAAACGATTTGCATTAATTTAGAAAACAATCAAGGAAAAACCACAAGTTAATGGGAATCGTGTAGTAAATTGTTTGTTGTATCTTTCTGCGGTAACTTATTCATGCATCAAAATAATGTACTAAACTTTCTAAGTCGCTAGCAAGGAAACTGTAGTTATCTTTTTTAGCTAATAACGTTCCTATGGGCGCAAATGTTTGGAAAGATAAGCTATTCGTCACAATCCCCAGAAGAAGACTGGGAGTGCCTTCGACTCTTAACTATGTGCCACTGAGCAGTGCTCAGAAGCATAACGTGCCTCTGATCCCATATCCCAGTTGGAATCTCAATCGGTTTCCAGACACGAGCGGATCAGGAGAAAATTTCGTTTCAGTTTACCGAATTGCTATTGATGTGTGCGACAGAATGTGGTTTGTGGATACTGGAATAGTAGAAACTCTTGGTAAGGGCGTTTTTTTATATTTTTTTAATAGACGCTGTGGAAAGCAGAACGAATAACGTTTCATGGCATTGAACCAAATTCAATCAGGAAAGTATCTGAGACACATTATAATCTCCTTCAATGTTATGGATTCCGTAATAGGAATTAAGCGTTCTAGTTAAGAATGTTGATAGATTGCGACCTGATTAAGGTGTGTTGTTGATATGCTTTACTTTTTTAAATGTCACCTGCGATATGCAAGAACCTGATATGTAAATGCACATCAAGATTTTCATTACCGAAGCGGTGGATATTCTGTAATTAATATTGAAAAAGCTGTATTGAGGTTTTTGGTGTTGATAATTTTAAATCAACGAGGCGGGAAGTTGAGCTTTAAAAATCTGATTTTTCTTCATCGGAGTAACACGGTCTACATTGGCAGCTAATTAAATGATAACTGGATGTTTGTGAATATTTAGAAAACTTGTCTCTTTTTGTTTCCGCTTTGTTGGCTGTTGATGGTTGGGATCCAAGTCAAAGAATAATGACAATGACTTCTTTCATTTGTTCAAAAAAAAAGAGGGCGTTTTGGAGGATTATATTTGGGCTAAAACATTCTTCAGTTTGTGGAAGGTCTTTATTGTCTAATGATTACTAACAGATGGAACTAATTGCGAAACTATAAATAACCACAGGAAGCGGGTTTTCACTATTTACTCGGAACTGAAGTTCTGTTACTGTTGCTAATGCAAGAAACTATTTCCGACCATTTTTAATTCTTCTGAATTTGCCAAACCACCAAAAACCCCGATACTTCAACTTATTGTTTGCATTGCAGGTAACCGAACAACGGTAAAACCTCATCAGATTATAATCATCAACCTTCAAACCGACGAAGTAATCCACAGATTTAGCTTACCAGAAAACGTGATAACTCCGGCCACAATTTTGGCTAGTGTAACAATTGATACACCCAAAGGATCGTGTGGAGATGCTTTTGCATATTTTCCAGGTAATGTGGATTAAAATATTATTATTTATGCAAGTATATGTGAGGATTGAACAGAAAATTTCCTAGCAAACTGGAAAATAACCACTCTGTTCTTGAGACATCAGAGTCCCGAAATATAATATACTTAGGGCTATGCTAAGTAAAAAAGCTACTGAATATAACCGAGGACTTTTTGTATTTTTTCAAGACTTGGCTGGTTACGGTCTCATAGTGTATAGCTTGAGAGAAAATCGCGCCTGGAGAGTTCGTCACAATTACTTCTACTTGGAGCCAATGGCAGGAGATTTTAATATTGCCGGATACTCATTTCAATGGAACGATGGCATTTTTAGCGTCGAACTCACCGATATCAAATCGAACGGTTACCGAGACTTGTACTTTCATCCAATGGCTGGTACTCATATGTATAAAGTGTCCACGAGAATCTTAAGAAACGAGGCTATGGCAACTAGAGCCTATCATGACGATGATTTCTCGGTGAGTGATGCAAGCAGGAAATAAAGTGCTTACTTGAATAGGCAATTGAACACAAAACAGAAAATTACAAGAGGAAAGCTGGATTGAGATTTGCTGACTTATCGTCAACTGACGCTTCGAATTGAGACAAAATTCCTTTTGTTAACAACTAATTTTTTCTCATCAATAATACAACCTGATAAATGTGAAAATTCTCAGATTGTTGGTGACAGAGGACCTCGATCTCAAACCTCGACCGCTGACATTCACAAACCAACAGGAACCATGTTCTTAGCGTTAGTAAATCAAAATGCTGTTGGATGCTGGAATGTTAACAAGGACTTGAAGACTTTGTCTGTTGTTGCCAAAGACGATCAACGCATGATTTATCCATCGGATGTTAAGATTGTCGGCGACAAAGTTTACGTCTTGACCAATACTATGCCACGTTTCCTCTATGGGCAACTGGATTACAATGTGACCAATTTCAGGGTGTGGACGAATGATGTAAGAAGTGCCATTCGCGGCACTCAGTGTTAAGCTAAGCGATTTTATATGTTTTGTATTTGATTTTTTTATATATTTACTGCTCAGAGTAGTTTATTTTTTCTTCACCCTAAGAATGGTAATTACTTCAACCCATTCTAGGATTTTGTTACGAGAAGCTGAATAATTATTTAATAATCTGCTTGCAGCCTACAGTGACAAAATTAATTGTTTAGTTTCATCCTGCTCATAAAAGTTCGCCAAATAAATAGGAAAATGAGTTGTTAAAATGTTGTTTTTTAAGAACAACTCCATTTGAGACATTTTGAGTTTGAGGAACTTTCTGTAATTCGTTTAAAATCTGGAAAAATATCCGAGTTTCCGTAATGTTCAATCAAATATTCAAGAGTTTGCCATTCAAAACTGCGTGACGTTGATGAATAACTTTTTACTTCGCGGCAGCATCTGGTTGCCTTAGTACGTGTACGGTCTAATTATACCCCAATTAAAACGTAATAAAAAGACATCAAGCTTTAAAGGTGGGCTTCGGCCGATTAACCCTTTGCCATATGTTTCTGTTGGCCGTTTAAAAGGGTTCGGTGTCTTGTTAACATTTTTTCGGTAATTGAAAACAACATTTATCTTCTATGTGGCGTTGAAGTGAAAACGATGCCTGCCCAGAACAAGTTTTAGTTTAAGCATTAGGACTTTTATAAATTTTGGCTTTCCACTAATGACTTCAGCTTCCTTCATCGGCTGGGTGGAGGAAAATGTAGTTTTTACCTAAAGCGAATGTTCAGAGTCAAACGAGACGAATAAGCAAAGAAAAAATAAATACAATTTTAGAAATCTTAGTCCAAATACTTTCATTTTGTCAAACTGTATTTTTATCTTGCAAGCAGTAGCTCAATGAATTTTGAAGCCCGAATATTTTTTCCCAACCATTTGTTCTAATAATTATTACTGTTTAAACACTAATTGCAGTTACCACTAGTTGATGGTCAGAATATTAATTAAAATTAACCCTTTGCGTCCACTCAAAACATAAATGGGTTCAAACTACCATAAAATTAGGCCGCTTTCCTGATCATTTCTACGCTTTGGTGGTTTTTAAACATTTCTATGCCCATTTTTCCGGTTCACTTCCAAACAGTTTCAACTTCTAAAATTGCTGTGAAACTGACAAGAAAGTAATATTTAATTATTTCGAAAATTACATTTGTTTTTGTAGTTTAAACTCTTCTCTAAAATATGATTTAATTCATTTAACGAAATACATGCACGAAAAATGATTCGCAAATGATATCCAAATATTCAGCAAATTCTTCGTTAATAAACTTCTAAAAGCTTCAGTTTTTTGTATTAACATTTTTATTAGACAATCAGATTCGCTTACGTCGCTTGAAGTTAGACAGGCAAAAAAGTCTTCATTTGCCGGCCAATTTTTATCATAATACGCTCGCAAAACAATTTTTAATCACAATCATTTTAAACCTTTAACCCTCTTTTGTGAAGCACATACGCGCAAATGTGCACATGAATCAAGTTGCCACATACGTCCATGGCAGCTTAACTGGGGATAATCGTTGGATGAGTTTGGAGTAGTAGAGAACAGCAATTAATCAATAATGTACCTAAAAATTGTTTGCGTATTTATTCAATTACTGTTTTTATTGTGGGACTCTTTGCCAGTTGCATTACCTTCATTTTCACACTCAAACTAACTTTTAACTTTTAATGATAAAGTAGTTTTGCTTGTTTTCCGGCTTAGGTCAATTTTTTTAAGTTAAAATACACACAAGAGTAGAAGGCGCTAGTAGAATCATCAAGATTTTACCACGAAAAACGATAGGAAACACACATAAAGTATGAGCTTGTTACCCAATTTTATGCCAGTTTTTTTATGGTCTTCACAAGAAACCACCATAATGTCTTCACTAGAAGAAGGAAGTAATTGAAATTTGCCTATTATGTAACGTTTTTAGTGCAAGCATCGTGTCCACTCTATTCTGAATGGCTCGTTGAGATTGATCCTCCAAAATGGGGAAACGAGGGGTGAGGCTCCCCTGCGGTGGGTAACTGGCCAGGCTGCCCTCATTAGCGTGTAAAACTCGGGTTAGGTACAGTTTTATCATGCGTTCCACACTAAATCCCCGAATAGCCGAACACAAAGATTTATACTCATTGCAAATTTAAACTTTTCTGCACTGTTAATTAAAACTGATTGCATTCGGTTCGACGCTATTTGCGGAATGGAGCTTTATCGTCATTTTTTGCATAAGTTATACAATCATGTTTACATTTAGTTGGATGCGGCTTAGTTAGGAGAGTTTATTACGAACCATCGGTGGCATAGGCGAAGCGAGAGCTTGCAAAAGATAAAATACCAAATGAGCGCCATCCACTTGATTGCCATAACCGGACGTTATTGGGTGTCTAAAATCTATTTATTGATCATTTGTCTGTTTCTTTAGATCTTTTTAGTTCTAGCATGTAGTTTTTAATTTTCTCCAAGCTTTTTGTATTTTCTTTGACCTTTATTAGCCTGAGCTTTATTCAGGTACGCAAACATTAAAAATAAGTTCATAGGACTTCAAGTTTATGTAAAATGTATGTAAAAAAGTGTGTGCAGTGAAGAGGGTTCTGGAAGCCAACCCTTCAGGAGAGGTTGGATCACTTTTGTCTAGACTATGATATACATTTTTGAATTTTATTTAAATTTTAGTATTTTCTACAAAAATGGCCAATAGCTTTTCTTTTTTTTCAAGTTTCAACAATTAAGGACTGCCAAATAAGCGGTGGTTTTGGCAAAACGGAAATGTGCCATGTTAGCATAAAGTACAGTACATGCAATACAAACTATAAAACCGATTCTCAAAATTGCACGATAAATAAACAATTTCCGAGGCTGCGCCCCTTTCAAATAGGTCAAACTGGGCGTAAAATGTCTGAAACCGTTGATTTTTGTGGAGTAAAGTGAAATTGAAATTGAAACGAATTTCACTTTTTTGGTTTGTGGCTTTAGTTCGTTGTTCATAATCTATGAAAGTAGGTACATTCAGAATTTTCAGAGACGTAGTTTGAAGTTAGTAATCATTTTGTTTTCTAGACCAAAAACTAAGTTCAATAACAGCTAAACATTTGCAAGTGTACTACAAGAATGAGAAGAAATGAACTATAGATGTTGACTTCTTCCATTCCTTCTAACTATAAAGATATTTTTTTAAAGTGACATTTTGTCACGCTAATTTTTAAAGAATTTCTTGGATTTTTATACACTATTTATGACTTTTCGTGTACATTGCGACATGGTTAGTGATTTTTGATAACTGCGTCTGAGACCATTTTTCCCAATCAAACTCAAATGTAATTTATTCCAGGTAAAGTCGAACAAAAAGTTCGGCTTTGAAAGTAGAGGAAGAATCAATTTCAATCAGTTGAGAATTTTCTAGCGTGAAGAAGCAAATGAAATTTGGCACATTATTACGTAACCCTTTTCCAAACCTGAACATTTACTGTAACAATTACCTTTGCCGACGTTAAAAATTAATTGGAGGAAGTTCTGCGAGTGCCTAAAGCCGGTCTCCCATGCATCCGTTTATACGATGGTACGATGATACGAAAGTGTTTCTATTGGTTGGAGATCTGTCAATTCGTCCGCAGTCGTACGAACTGACAGATCTCCAACCAATAGACACTTTCGTATCATCGCACCATCCTATAAACGGATGCGTGGGACACGGGCTTAAGCCGTTTTCTTTGAACGTTTCGTTTTCATAAAAATCAAAATTGAGACATTTACACAAAATGTGACAAAATTAAAGACGGTCAGTTTTCAAATTGTGTTCATGCAATAAAATTTTAATTAAGAAATATTGATAAAATGTGCGGCTTTAATTTTCTATATCAATATGAAAATCTGTCGCTCGGCTTCAATATGAAAAATCACGCTTCTAAAAATCCTAATATTTAAACAAACTGTACGAAAAAGCAGCCTCATAATATGAAATTCAGAGTGTTTTTATGCCGACCATAAATCGAATTTCGTGTTTTCGGGCCAGTTTTCCAAAATCCCTCAGGAATTAGCGTACATTTGTCAACTTAAAACGTTTCGTCCAAGTACCTAATCAGCGACAAACTGGAAAGCACACACACAGTCACCACTCTAAAAAAATCGAACAAAACCATCTCGTATTGCTAAAAACCTTTTTTCACACAGAACCAAACACATTTGCAAATCCTGGTGGAATCGTGAACTAGTACATTCAGGCGGACCCTATTTTTCGCAATGGCGAAACGAACATGTTTTTGTTTTTCGGTTTTGCGTCTGTTTTTTTTTCGGCTCGTGGTCGTTATCGATGTTTTAGTGGAATTGCATGTCTGGTTAATAATGAATGCCCTGGATCGCTGGATATTTTAGAGAACTGTAGTGTGATTTTCTGTTATTCTGATTTAATTTCAGCGCTCGTTGACACTGCTGGCTGCTTAATATTCATGGGCATTATTTTGGGTATTGGTCCCCGTCTGCCGATAATGTCATATGTGTTTGAATTTGCTAATGCGATTGTTGAGTCGAACCATCAACGGCTGCATTTTTGTGGTTTTTAATTCGATTATTCCACGTTTACGGCCTTAAATTATTTAAAGGGTTTGAAGGGCCTTCTAGAGTTAATCTGCCTAATTTAAAAACTGTCACTGTTATTGTCCGGATAGTTGATAGAATGGAAATATCCTGTTCAAATGCAATTCGTTTCAGTCAGTTTTGCTGTACCATCAGCGTGCTGATAATTACAGTTTCGCATGGTTTATTGATACTAATGATCAATAATATCTGGCTACAATCGGCAACCGTCCGTGCGAGCGATTTATTAAAAATATACTAATTGTTATTTAAATGTTCGTGGTTTATTAAAGAAGAGTGAATGTTTTTATATTGATTTTTGTAGTAAGCCCATAGTAACATAAAATAAGACAAGTCCAGAAGGTTTAGTAATTTATGAGAAAAATATGTAGGTATCTGCGTTTGTATTAAATCTATTATCTAAAAAATGTATTTTCTCTACAAACTTTGAAGCAAAGGGTGTGTTTCTTTAAGGCAATGTCTGGCTTAAA